ATCTGACAATTCACTATCATTTTCTGGTTTTGGAGTAAAGTAGTTTTTCCTCCTTATGATCTAAATGTTATAAGGATTTTTAAATTTAAAATGATGTCTAAGGGAATGCCATCGCAAAAAAAATTGATTGAATCATTAACAATTACGAGGGGTTTAATCAAGAGACTCTTTGGTTCAATTAAATCTTCTAATTTCTCGTTAAGACGATAGGCAGTTTGATCGGATAGACTGAGTGTTTGCGAGGGTACTTCCATCTTAAAGTACTCGGGTAACGTAATTGAATTCTCGATCACTGAAATTATATCATCGTTGAAAAGGATATTGCGCGATTCCTCTAGGTAAGCTTCCTATTGCGCGATTCCTCTAGGTAAGCTTCCCATTCTTCCCCAAAAGTATTATGATTCTGGTCTTCGTCGTGGTGAGGGTCTAGAAATTCGCAAGTGAGTACCATTTCTTAAAATGAAGTCATTAAGGTATTCACACATCAAATTTTATTTTAAGTTTAAATGAAGATAGTTCACACCCACAGAGCACACTATTACCCATAAATTGGCCATGTGGATTTGATGGGTGTTATGGTTATTCCATCATCATGATAGCCCGCTTTAGGGCACCATAAATATTGCCGGTTTCCACCGTGAGAAAGCAACTCAAATTGTGTAATCGGAAAGTTCAACCTAAGGGTAAAGTGACAGGTACCCAAAGTGTCGTGTTTCATTTGATTGTTTTCTAAGTCTCGAATAATTTAGTAAGAGGCCAGTTTCCATTAATGAACCATAGTCCAACGATTTTGGAGACTTGTATGTCATTTCCCACTTCGTGAAGGCTTGAGTACCAAATTGGATTCTATTTCTTGGATTTTCGCTTTAATAAAAGCCTTTTGGCCAAAAATATCTTTTATTTATTGTTTGAAAGGGTAAATTCCAGTTGTTACTTTGGTCAGCCCTTAATGTTGCTTCTAAGGTCACTTAAAGTACCTTACAAAACTAATAAATTTAATAGACCCACTGCAAAAACGAAATGAGACAGAATAAGGCCAATTAGAAACCCCAATATTCCAATAAAAATAATATCCACTTCTGTCGTTTTGATTAATTCTGTTTTGAATGTTATCCAAACAAATGTGAGTAATTACCAACCCATAAACCTTACGAACAATGTTAATTGATAAATCACCTAAGCAGTAATTAACACTGAATTATGTCGAAATGTCACAATTGGGACAGTATATCTATGGGCCATTGTAAGGACAACTACAGGCCAATCCACTTTATCTGCCTTTATGACTGTCTATAAAATTATTTACTACGTACCACGTCAGTAGTGTGAAAAGGAAGGAACTTAGTCATTATCAACATGGTGGATCCGGTGAAACAAATGGGCGTCTCTGATTGGTTAATGTCGGTGAGGTCGCCGCACCCGGTCCGTACGCGAGTTTGAACGTGATGTTGACTAAGCGATGACGTGTCCCACAGAAGCATTATGTTCATCGATTTTACTCCATAATAAAGAGTTGGGTTTGCTTTCTATTCCAGTCCCTTTCATAACTTCTCACAAAAGCGTCCCCAATGTCTCTTTCCTCCACGACTACCCGGTACTACTAGTGGTACATATCAACTTCTAGTACATGGATTTAGAGGGGATTTTTGTACCTTCCTAAGCAACAATTTTGTAAGGGGTAGTTGCAATTCCAAATCGGTCAAACTCTTAAAGTAACTTTTCCCCCTCGAGATACTTGCAGACAAAATTTATCTCAATGGCTTTCTTTGCCATAAAAACGAGATCAATTTGGCCGGATTTCATTAAGATGGAGGTTTTTACATATTTCCTATCATATTACAAGAAAGAATTCATCTCAAATTATTCAAGGTGAAAATGGTCAGTTATATCGTTAATTTGCAATCTCGTAAAAAAGGATCTTGGCGATTGCGTGAAATCTCAACACATTTTTCTGAATTGATCAACAACTAATTTCGCCTTCTAAAGCCAATTGAATTCCACACATTTGTTTGCACCGCCACCTCGGCACTTTCTTGAGCACTTTGATGTCTGTGATCCTTCACACTAAGTTACATTTTGCCTACAATTCATTCTGACAGGAAGCGGCCAGTATAAGGCCGCTGTTTAAATTAGGGAGAAAACATCAGATTATTTGAGCACGTGCATTAACTCAATTAAAAAACGCTGATACCTCTTCAAAATAAATAAGTTGGTAAGTCATTGCTGCACATGAAGAGCACTATGTCAATCTTGAATGTGCAGAATGAATTCTGATTAATCTCAAAGCGTCAAAATTGGCATGATAGTACAAAAGAATCGAAAAGAAGATTTGGCTGTAAAATATTTCTTTAGTTAGATATAAACATTTCAATGAAGTCATTTTTCAAGAGATTCGTTTACTTCCTGGCGCAATTCTGTTTCCGTTGAGTTATTTTCATTAGTATCCTCTGGTTTATGGCCGTACCAATTTAACTTAAATGCAAAGAAAAACAAAAAAATAAATTTTCTCATATAATATTAAGCTAAATTGTGTTTTGGCAACCGCTTACTTCCATATGATATCTCAAAATTTCACCATCTGAAAGTCCCCTTGCCCTCAATTCATCACTTCGCGAATTGCTTTCAGCATACTGGGAATTATAAAGTCGACTGAAATAGGCGGTTCCCGATGCTGCTTGTGCTGTGTGCGAATTTCTTTCTTGAGGTGGTGGCTGCTGCAAACTGCTAGTGGAGGAACTAAACAAGAACTCATTATTGTCATCCAAATAGTTGAATACAAATTATTCTCTAAGTGTTAGATGAAGTTACCTCAGGGTGCATTGTCTCCTTTGTTTCGCGACTCCAGCTGCGAAATTCGGAAAAGCCTATAACAACAACAACAACAACAATAACAACAGCGCATTACGCTTGTAAAATGCAGAAATGAAATTTCCACGAATACTCTACCAATTAAGGTCAATGATAAATTAAATCTGGAAGTTTATTCACTTAAATGTTAGAAGTAGTCATCTATGCATTATGATCACTGAAGTTTTTCTTCCTCTTCTAAATTATAGCTTTTCATCATAGTCAAGTTAGGAAACTGATTATAGAATTTCAAGATTTGTCGAGATTTAACTAGTTTTACGATTTTTATTCCAAATTGGACCAAGAATACCATCAAACAATTCGAGATAAGTGTTGGAAAATATTCGGGATTTATTACCTATAAAACTTTTTATCGTCTGTTCCAAATCATGACATCGTATAACAGTCAGCATGGAAATATGCGATAAAGTGGAGTTGAGTTAACGCTAAATTCAAACGAGTATCATCGATAACGATAGGCATGTATGCTATGATAAAATTCAGGTCAAATGTCATTTGATTTATTCGAACTATTGCTTTACATAAATTCATATTAAAGCATTCGACATTGAACTTAATAGAGCCTTTAACGATGGGCAGTAATCGATCAAAAGTTTTGAAGGTACATTAATCGTTGAAAATAGCAAATTAAATTGAGCATTACTTAACAGGCGCACCAAAGTGATAAATAAACAAATAGAAGATGGGCACAACTTTTACATAAACTGGCATCCACAACACAAGGACTTTAAAGTGGTCTTGTTTAAAAGAACACGCCATACCACCCCCCCCCCTTGGAATAACGCCCTATATGAATATTCTTCTTGAAAGGAGTGAAGACGCTCAAAGCTTAAATTCTACTTGAATCCCTAGAGCAATAGTTCGGCCAACTATTCCCATCACTAGTTGTTCAGAACTCTTTATTATTCATCTCATTGAATATGAAGGAGATTTCACTTACCGATGAGAAGAGTCCGTCTGTGGAGTTCCTTTTGCGTACATTCAAAGATGAGGCGTCAAAATTTATAGAACGATTAAGTTCACGTTCTCTAGCACTCAATCGAACTTCTGTAGAGTGGGAATTTTCTATTGACATTGAAATATTCTCATTTGTAGTTGCAAGTTGACTCTGCATGTACGCTCGTTCTGACCTATTGCGATTGGATGCAACAGTGTGAGTACCGGGTTGCCGAAAAAGTGATTCCCTACAATTCACATCACTTCCAACACCCGAAGAAGCCTCAAATGTCTGAAAGTTGAAGAAGGTGTAAAGTTGCGATATGACTTATGATAACCGAACGAGGTTTCACTTACTGATGAGAAGAGTTCGTCTGTGCAATTCCTTCTGTGTACATTTAAAGATGAGGCGCCAAAATTGGCATTTCGATTAAGTCTACGTTCTCTAGCACTCAATCGAACTCCTGAAGAGTGGGAATTTTCTATTGACATTGAAATATTCTCATTTGTAGTTGCAAGTTGACTCTGCGTGTACACTCGTTCTGACCTATTGCGATTGGATGCAACAGTGTGAGTACTGGGTTGTCGTAAAAATGATTCCCTCCTGTTCACATCACTTCCAACACCCGAAAAAAACTCGATTGTCTGAAAGTTGAAGAAGGTGTATAGTTGCGATGTGACTTATGATAACCAAATGAGGTTTCACTTACTGATGAGAAGAGTTCGTCTGTGCAATTCCTTCTGCGTACATTTAAAGACGAGGTGCCAAAATTTGCATTTCGATTAAGTCTACGTTCTCTAGCACTCAATAAAACTCCTGTAGAGTGGGAATTTTCTATTGTCATTGAAATATTCTCATTTGTAGTTGCAGATTGACTCTGCATGTACACTCGTTCTGAACTATTGAGATTGGATGCAACAGTGTGTGTACTGGGTTGTGGAAAAAGTGATTCCCTCCAGTTCACATCAATTGCCACACCCGAAAAAACCTCGATTGTCTGAAAGTTGAAGAATGTGTATAGTTGCGATACGACTCATGATAACCAAGCTTTAACACCAAAATCTACAGTTACCTCATGAGGGGAATCAATAATTTCTTCATAATTGTCCCATCGCATAGGTACTGCAACTTGATCCAGCAAGTCTGTGTCAGGAAATTCTTGTTCTAGCAGGTGGTCATTGGATGTCGATGTTAGAACACTGGATGGTGTCACATCAGGTCCATTTCTTATCATTGTATTAGTTCTTAATTCCTCTGATACTTCAAACGTCTAAAATTTATTAATTTGGTAAAGTTTGAACTATGTCATTATAAAGGAAGCATACCGAAACCTCAAGAGGCCCGTCACTGGTTTGAGCATAATTACTTTCTTCCCAGGAGGTTGTTAGCGATGGAAACAAGTCCTCCATGAAATCATCAAGTCCCTTAAGGGGGTGTTCACCGATTTGCCACTCACATTTGTAGCTCTCTTCGGCTTGTAATTCTTCCAATCGGTCCCATAACTTTGATAAGGAATGGCACATTTCGAATAGCAAATAGTTATAGCTGCGATTCTTTCCGTTTATATAATCACAAATCTTTTATTAGGGTCAATTGTAACCTCTCAATTGGGGTCGATGCACAAGGTCAGGGTCATTAAATGATTTTGAAAATACCAATCATTGTTTAGTATGGGCCATAGGCATATAAAATTTATCAATGAACTGAAGCGTATTTTATTACTGCCACCGGGTCATGCATGTTGGTTACTGGCTTATTATGTTTCTGAGCTAAAATCGTGTTTACTGAGAAATTCGATTTACTAACAGCTACATCGTTCAAGCTCGTCGCAACGGCACAACAAATAAAATGCAAGAAAATCGATGGTTATCATAGAACCCACATTATCCTTCTCCATTTGTTCAGTGTCCTCCTAACTCTATACGTGCGAATTAAACTGCTCTTCGATTACCCGAACATAAGAAGCCAAGTGTTCCGTCCCCATAATTCCTCTTTCTCTTCCCAAGTGTCCAACCCAGTTAGACCTGGAAAGAGTCCAATGATACCTTACGTAAAGCTAACCCAACGCTAAAATTTGCACGATAATGCATCCATAACTTCAAAGAACTACTTGATCAAATTTAATGAGGGGGATTCATTAAGAAATCGATTAAGAATCACTGAGAAAAAATGATTCCACTAATGAAAAATACAAGATTTCATAGGGAAGAAGATGCAGTATCAAGATGTTTCAGCGCATACATTTCTAAATTGATTAATTAAATCAAAATCATCATTTATCCTTCTTTAAACTACTTTAATAATATGATCACAGTTTGTCCATAAGTTTCTGCAAGGCTTTAGGCAAGTGTCATGACAGCAACAGAATTATGATAAGCACCTACTTTGTCTTGTAAACGTCATGAATGCTCGCAATTGCTTGTTCAATTTTTACATTAAACGATAAGTATTGAAAACACCTAAACGAGTCGAGAATAAAATAACCCGGCAATATTCTTAAAAGCAGAGAGTAATCAAAGGAAGTGAAAGTGTACTTTAATTCATTTCCGATCACTCAGTTACTTGGCTGATCAAGGTTAGTTAATTAAGTCCTATTCAATAATTAAAATGTCAGAAAACAAACACCAATTGTTGGTTAGCTCGATATGCACTTATTAAATGCTGCTCTATACTATGGGCATCCACGCTTAGCTCAATTATAACGTAAAAACGCTACTAACATCCTATAAGTAGATTTTCACTTTCAATCAAGCCTAAGGCAAAATGATCACAAGATTAATTAAGCGCTACTGATGCACTTATAAGTAGATACATAGATTTATTGGCATGCAATCAAGAGATTGGAGACGACACGTACGCTGTAGATGAAAAAATATGAGCCACGAGAAAAAGAAACATCAAAGCAAGATGAATTGGACAGATTGCAGAGATTAGCTAAATACACAGATCTCTGGGAGATTTAGGAAGAAGAAAAGGAAAAAGATTCCTCCTTTTTGCTGGCTACAAATCATATTTTGGGACAGTTGAGATAAAACCGTCATGATCAGCTATTGGAAAAGATTCGCGAATGCTGAAAAGAGAAAGTATGCAGACAATGGGCATCCGACGTCTAGAGAAAAGGGGGAAAGGGAGAGTAAAGGGTAGATAAGTAAGGATATTCCCCTACTTACGCTCACGCCAGAACAGAGAGCGAGTACAGATCATAAGTCCAATGGAAAAATGCACATTCATCAAGGTATACGGAAGAACAAAGTAAATGGTATTTATCTCTCATTGCTTCCCTAACATTTGACGCGCCAGTTGTACCATCATTTGAGCAGAACGGTTTTCTCCCAGAGCAAACCGTCGCCATTTTCTCTAAAAGAATGAACCAAAAGGTAACCTAGCTTCTATCTATTAATCAATCGAATGCAATTCACACTTACGCTATGTGATATTTGCAGAATACGTCTGATTGTAAACTCTGGATTCCTTGTGGCGGGATAAGCTAACCTGTGTTTAGCAGGTGAAGGATTGGGCGGTTGAAGTCTCTGATACGATGTACTCTGTTGAGGAATAGTGATAACCGGTGAAGATGTTCGAATCGGTGCAATAGGAGAATTAGCGGCCATACGATTCCAAACTGTCATTTTCGCAGTCGATATAGCTATGGAATCACTATTTGAAGGTATTGGACGGTGGAGGGGATAATTTACTGTTGAACTTGACTGTTGTCGAGGTGCAGAAGAGGGTATTACATTGAACCTCCTTACTTGTGAACCATAACCAACGGCCTTTGGTACTATTGGAGTTCGTGGAGGCTATAAATTGAAAGATGAATGGGTCAAAATCACAATGGAATTATAAAATGCTGTTTACCGAGGAGAAACGCACCGGAAAAAGCAGAGAGGAAGTATTGGGCAGACTGTGTGCCGAATCCTGAAATAGTGCACGGGGTTTGAAGGATGAATCTTTGTTTCTTCGTTTAGCGTTGGAGGTCGGAATACCCAGAGTGTTGAAATCAGAAATAGGACTGGAGAGATGGAAAGACTGTTGGTCAGAAGCGTTGAGAGTTTTGGATGGTGTCTGAACCACAAAATAATCTGGGATGATAGAATTTTTGAAGGGAGAAAGAGTATCATCATTAAGAAGATCGAAGTTTATATCCTGTATTTTATCAGGAGACGTGAATGATAGAGCTTCTTCTGCTTGTGTCCGCCTTCTTTTTTCAAATGGTTGCAAATCCGATATCGAGGTACTGAAATCAAGCGTTATTAAAATTCGCATAATCAAAGCAACTCCAAACCGACAAAAACAATGAAAATTACCTCGATTCAGGAACATTCTCTTGATTATCGGGCATAGCTGATATAGCGGAGTCATTCTACGAAAAAAGAACACCAAAGATAGATAATGGTAGCTACGCAATTTTCGTTAAACAAGGACAACACAAGATCAATGACCTCGAGACTTAAGGCCAGAATAAGAAATGGTAAGAATAGTTTATTGCCTAAGTGACACACATTCTCTGTAATATAACAGAGTATCAGATTAAGGGAACAACAGTAAATCAATGAATAGAACAAAAACACGAGTTACCGCACCAAACAAACTTGATGGTTAAAAATTCATAAGTAAAAAAAACGCATATCACTATCAAAGACTCACGGAATATTAATCATTTCTTACTCCAAAATATTAAGCAATTTTATCAGCACAATTCACATAAGTGATTAGTAAATCTGAACTAACAATTGATGAAAAATAATTTCACTAACGAAGACTAAACAAATGGTCTCACTAAATGAAGCTTGACAAACCAGGAAATCACCAAAAAATCAATTCTAAAAGATAAAATACTTAGATTAACTGAGCGTTTACATAAAAATATCCTATTAGGAACAAGAATTCGATAAATAACGACTGCTGTTACTATCAATTAGCTTACGTTCATTGAAGCGACGAAGTTGTTTTCATTCGAACAACTTGAATCGTGATACCGTTTAGACAGCCGAAAATTTTCATTGAGGGGGATCAGGGCTCTAAAAGCAATATACTCCGATGAAAACCAATAAAAATAAAAGACACCTAAACTCTACGGCTAGTGCGATTTTACCTTTGATTCGAAGAAACAGTTGGTTGTGAGCGAGTATAAGTCACTGAATTATGTGATTGCTCAGTTTTGATTTCCCAATGCATCCCATTGGAATTAGTAGCAAGAATTATTGCGTTGTTTTTAATTTCCGAAAATCTACGGGAAGTATCCCTTGAAAATGCTGTTATTTCATCGTATTGAATTCTAGAGCAATACGAAATAAAAAAAAACAAGAACAGGTACCTTTGACTTGAAGGAATGGCTTGGTTATAATCATGGATTTGTAAATCTCCCACATGTGGGATGAGCTTCATAAACATGTCGAAATTATTTTCGACAAGATAATCACGACGTTGATCGCTTTATCAGAATTTCTTTATAGATATTTGACAATAAGCTAACAAAGGAAATGTTACAGGCAATATTAGAATTAGATAACTAAAAATTTGGATGAAATCCAAAACGTATGAAACATGCTCAAGCTAAATTCGTTATAAAAATGAAATATTAGGTTAATAAAGCGAAATGCAATGTTTAACAATAAAAAATATATCGACCACAAACAGCTGTTTGTAATAAGGCCTTAAAATTAATGCAACAAAAGTATAAAAGGATAGATGGCTTTAACTAAGTGAATAGGTACAACATGTGGCCGATAAATTATATACTTATATATCTAAGTTAATTAACTTGTTAGTAATAAAGAAACTAAGGAAGGCAGCAACGTACCAATCAAACCATGCGCACTGAGTTTTATGAGTGTTTGCTACTCAGTAAAACTATAAATACTGACCCTTATATACCTGTTATTTGTTCATGTTTAATCATAAATGTATTGTTTTGTTTTTTATTTGCCTTAATCGATGATATTTTAACCATAAGTGTAATTTTTAGCCTATTTAACATTAAAGATTTTAAAAGGGGGATTGAGTCGGCCTTACTTGATAGATATTTATCACCAAAAAACATTGTATAGCATATATATATTACATCATTTTCATTATTCTTGGGGTATATTTATACCTGTGGATATTTATTTGCAAAAATCCACAACTTTGTATTATTGTGAAAACACTTATCAGTATCATAATGTATTGGGTTAATAATGAATACTTTCAGCCATTTTCACAATTTTATATCTGCTTCCTTATCGGTACAAGTAATTATATTACTTTATCGAACAAATTTAAAATATATGCGATCATTTATTCCGATAATCTTTTTTACCAACTATGCTATCAATATCATCGTTTGCGTTCATATCACCTCAGTGACCAAAACCTTTGAAGAATATCTACTAAAAATCGAAAAATTTTGTGACAATTTACTTGATATATCCCATTAATTTTTCGAAATTAAAGTTCGTATATTTCTGGGCTCTATCTATTACAGTCAAAATCCACCACAACAATAAAAATGTAGCAGAGGGGAATTGTTGACAAGTGGGTAAAGCAAAGAAAAGTGGGACAAGACAAGGGTCGAAAGACTTGAACAATCACGGCACACTTTCAGAGAGAATGCTGAATGCTGATTTACAGAAGAGACAACCACAGGTTAACGAAAGCAATAGTCATGTGTAAATCTCGTTGTTTTAAATTATAAATGACATGTCAAAAGATGTGAAATTGGTACATTTTGAAAATAAGTACTAATGCTCAGGGAGAAGAGTTTTGGTGCGGGAAGATGGTTTGGGGTTGATGGACGAGATTAATGTTTGCAATCGATAGATTAGATCTCTTGCAAAACCCAATAATCTCGGTAGATCATGCTGTTCGGCTCTCTCTAAAATAATATGTAATCATCAAGTAATAAAACGTCAAAACATTTTAACTATTGATAAAATGCTAGTTTATAACTAGTTTCTTTAAACAGTTTAAACTTTTCGAATCTCATTATAGTAGTCAAACAATAAGGCTTTTGTAAACTAACCGTTGTAAAATTTTATAATGTCTGTATAATCGAGGCAGTAGAAGAGAATTATATCGCGATAATACTGAATCAAGGCAAATGCAATGAATATTTCAAAATCCGGACAGACCAAGCGAGTAGAGGTCCAAATCGTTTCCCAGGCAAGGAAAACGTCGGCATATTTGAATTCTTTAATAACAAAAATATAAGTATATGTGAAATATTTCATTCTTGAAATGATTGACCAATAGCCAAATGCAACTCACCTCTTTTGAAATCTAATAGGAGCCATCGATAGAAGTAGAGATGAGAGTTTTCATCATTTAAATGCATATGCTCCGCAAGAACTGGATCCAAAACCTGAAAATGAGTAGAGTTAACGTTGTGATTTTCTATTCGAATTTTTCAATCAAAGAACCATTTTCTCACGCAATGAAAACAAACAGGTAATCTTCTTAAGAATAACAAGAAACCGCTCCAAAAAATTCCACCCCTTTGAAGATTCTGTTGATTTGTGTTAATAATCTCATTTTAATGATTCACATTCATTCGACTGTGTCATTTGTGCGACAATATAAATAGAAATGGGAAATTGCTCAGTGATCACAAAATGTAATGCGATTAGTTGCTGTGTGGTCAAGCATTAATGAAAAAAATTCCTAATCTTCGTTATAAATGAATATTGGAATTTTCTGTGAAACTGGACCCCTAATTAGCCATGAAAACTTGATCATCAAAATTTTAGTGACAGCACCTCGAAGGCTGCTTCGTATTCGTTTGATACAAGTTGTAGCATTCAAAAATTGGTTCAAAGTTGTCTGCGACTTCAAAGGTCGCTGTTCAACCAACTGCACTATGTCTGATAGGTAAATGGGGTAACAGAATTGACTACTATAGGGGAGAGGGGGTGGTTCCAAAATTGCCTGACAAAGTCATTAATATTACCCAAATAATTTGATTATTACTCTTAATTAACCAGATGATTTGCATACTCGATTAGAAGGGTTAGTTAGCTGGGTAGCTATCTTACTTAATTTTGGACTAAAGCCTACTTCCTAGCATTCACGTGTTTTTTTGAGTTTTGGAATTGATTACTATATCAGAGGATAATCAGGTCATAGCGACGAAGAAAGTTGAAAACCAGTTTGTAGATTCTTTAGTTTCTAGCATACACATTATCCAAGTTAGAAGTCGAGGCATTACAGCCCACCGGTGTAAATTCAGTAGTGTTAGTGACTCACTATCATGATTAATTCTCGAATGTGAGTTTCTCACAAGAGCGACTCGTGTAGCTCAAATGAGACCGGGAGGTTGCTTAATTGTGCTTAGGGGTTATTACGAATTTAGCATTATTTCAATTAGCCTTATAGTTTATTAAAAAGCAGGAAATTCAATCTTAACTGAATTTTCAAATTCAAGGACTTCCAACTGAATTTTAATGGGTGAATGTTGCCAATCTTCTTCGGATGTCTTTTCAAATTGTGTGTGTGTGTGTGTGTGTGTGTGTGTGTTTATCTAAAATTTTGACTACAATCCCAGATTCTACAACTGTAAGATAAATAACTCACAAACAACACATCCTAAATATTTAATGATAGCCTTGACTTTCTTACGTTCTAAAAACAAACTTGTCAGCCCCTCTACAAATCACTAATTCGACTCACCTCAATAAGGTTTCGAAGTCCCTCAAATTGTTTAGTAATCCTCGTACTCCCATTTGGAGATAGGTCGACATCGCTCTGCTTTGCAGTTTGGCCATTCGTATCCCGATGATTAGCCGCTTCTTCCAATATCTGCTGTTTAGTCATTGGCCTTGTGTAATCATACATTCGATTAGGCGCCCACTCAAAAGACATCTTTTCAAGGAAGTGGGGAAGAATTATTCCTGCAGATGCAGCCGCCTCTGCATTGACCACAGAAGCCTCTGATACCAAAGGAAAGTTATTCAACATGGTTACCATGAGTTGGGAGAAACAAGCATGAGTCAGGGCTTCGTCTTCAAGAACCACTAGGAGTGGAGCCAGCAGGTCACACATTCCCTGAACATATCCTATGTTCATGTGCTGCCAGATCCATGTGCACATGATAGTACGAAGACGATAGAGATTAGCAGATATATCAAGACTGGCGACACACAATCCACCGGTAGATTGTTCTGATATTGATGCCTGAGAATTTTCTCCAGTTGATAAACCTATATGGGAGGTAAGATGTATTTGACAAAGAAATTAGCATACCTTTAGAGAAATAGTAGTAGTTTCGGTCACATCTGGCTACATCTTTATCAATCCTTTGAATATTCACAGAAAGGGCGTCAAGTACTTCACTCTGAAAGAAATAGCAAATGAATAATGCTCAAACCAAATCAGATGAAAAATGAAATAATATCTCAATAAAGAACCAGGCAGCCTTCAAAGTGGTCACTTTAAGTAACAGTTAGGGTAACCTTTGTTGATGTATTTAATTAGCATGAAGATAAAGCATTTTTTCACATTAAAATCGAATTTTTGTTAATTACGCTCCAAAAAACGGTCTTTTGCCAGTAGACCAAGATGTAATATAAGCCTATTAAGACTAATACGACAAAATCTGGGCGCAATATTAATAGATCATTAAGGTAAGAAATACTTCCATTTTGATTATTTACAAAAGATTTCATTTTCTAAACCTGTAATTCGAGACATAAATTATCATTCAAGACTTGGAATTTAAATTAACTACTTATTTTAAATGTCAATTTCACTGAACTTTTCAAGGCTATCTCTTAATAAATTAATTATCGTCCACTAACTCAGATTCACGAAGATGGCCTAAACTCAATGATTAGCATTTATTTATTCGAATGGCTTGATAATGTTCAATTGAGCATCCCATTTATATTATGGTTAATCGGGAAAATTGTCACTCACTGAATAAGTGGTACCCGAGATCTCTGCCCTCGAGAATCTGCTTTGTTTTCTTTCTCTCGGGGCAGGTACGGACTGCTTATCTAGTTTTTCATTCTCGTATTTCGGAGGAACAAACACCTCGTCTTCCTCCCCGTTGACCTCCTTGACGGATTTAGATGAATTCACAGTCCGCATCGACGACTCAGCATAAATGCTGTTGGGCCGCCGGTCGGAATTTGGACAGGAGTGAGCACGAGCTATTTCCAGACGACGTGCTCGACTTGCAGCTGCTGCATTTTCAACGACATCGTCTTCATCTGTAGTCGTCAGAGTGTAGTCCTCTGTGTCCTCGTCAGTGTGAACTGCTGAATTGTTGCTGTCAGTCCTAACAATTAATTCGTGTTTAGCCTTGGTGATAGATCTGGATTCGTGAGTACCTTTTGAGGGTAGTGGTGGTAATCCGTTGCCTATGAGCGAAAAAGGAGCTTCCTCAATAACTCGACTCAACACCTAGTTAAGGAGCTCGCTTATGAAATATATATGCGCTTAGCTAAACAGTGCCTCTCAGACTAAGTAACTGGCAATTAAAGCTTTTTAAATATAGTTTGCCATTGCCCCTCAATTGAATAACAAATTGACCATAATTCCCATTGTTCTCAAGAAAAGCAAATTCAGAAAGCTGTTTTTTACCCTATACAATATTAATTAATTTCCGAACTAAATGAAAACAAAAGTATTATATTTTTTATCTGGTCACTTTTCCTTTTGACCTTGTGATATTATAACAAATGTCAAATAAACTAATATTTCCGTTACTTGGGTCATGGAGCTCAGCGGGTAATTAATGTATTGAGCACTCATGAACACCATATTCTTGAAGTATTTCTTATAAATTCCAGATGGCCTTTGTGAAAATAGTATTTCCTACTAATGTCCTTCATTGTCAAACGTCAAATAAATTTCATCCGAATTAAGGTAATGGAAAGAACTCACTTTTCTTCGAGGCATTTGTAGATCCGATCTTTCCAATTGCATGCCCACTCGGATTGGCTTGCTTAAACGACGGTGTGGTCTAAAATGAGAAAAATACGCTGCTCTAAGGAAGAATACACAACAATATATTGCTTTGTAACATAATGACTTATTGAATGAGAGTCGACATACCTATATAATATCTGCCAATTTATATATTACCAGCGTTAGCACTTATTTTAATAGCTTGGAAAGAGAATAGAAGGAAATCTAGTGGTATATAATTGCTAAATATCCATTAGAGGTTCTATTAAATGAAAAAGGTACAATGAGGACAAGGTAATTATGCTGTCACAGTGATGTTCAGTAGTTAGAGAGTTTCGGAATATCTTGTAACGGCCTTGACCTAGGCTACACCTATTTAGGAGTGATTCTAACGTCATTAATATCCAATTTGATTTCATCTCGTGGATCTACATGCAGTGCTGCTTGGACAGCACTGACTACTTTGATAAACGACATAAAGACTAAAATATTTTCACCCTTGGGGGGGGGGGGGGGGGCAACAAGCGATCGAGTAATTTTATTATAAGCCTGTATGAAAATTAGCCAAATTCATTTTGCCAAAGGAGCATAAGCTGATCATTTCATGCTAACTAAATCGACTAATACAGGAAACAGTAGATGCAGATGAATGTTGGCTTTCTGGTGATGGGCAATAAAACAGTGCAATGACTCACCACAGTGGAAATTCGGCGTTTGACTCGATTCCAGGCGAATGATAACAACTAAAAGGTGAAAATACAGACCTCAGCGTATGAGGACATTTGATATCCATGTTTGCCTCGTTTAATTTAATTTTAAGTCATCAAAACTGCAAATAATTCTTTAGTTACTCAATTACAAATTAACAGAAGGCTCTTGTTACTTAAAATAACATGCATTTGAAATTGATTAGAATAAGGAATCCTTACTGTTTCAAGCGATTATCAAGTTCTTTTATTTTTCTAATTTATGATTGAGATACTAAAGGTACCATCACAAAAAACACATTTATTACAAATTGATGATTTCTGAATTTTTTACAGCAGATGCAACAGTGGTAAATATCGAAAATTTCATTTCGACATATCTCAATATCAAATCAAGATGGTATGTTAATTACCATTGAATTAGTCAGTTTAATGGATAGCATTGTGTTCCTGGGAAATTATATATAATTCCACCCCTCAAATTATTTATCGGTAAAATTGTCTGGCGATTTTTCCATTCATTTGAACAGTCTGAAAGATTTCTCAAGGGAGTACACGGCAGAACTCTTGAAAAGCACTGCACTTAATGTAAATATTACTTCAAAATTTTATAATAAAATTATGTTTTTTTAAAAATTCTATGTAAAATTGAAGTTCAGAATATCCTATAAGTGTATGGAGTTCATTCATTCCTTTTTATATTAAATTTCAAAATTGAAGTAAATCCATTTACCATTAAGAAGTCGATACTTAATTCCCTTTTGACTGATTATCCTGGTACAAAATTACATATTTGTTGTTTCCTCTCACAAATTTCAATAGATCGGTCTATAAAATACGTACCAAAAAGACAAATCCGAATTACAACTAGAAGAGGCCAATATCATAGAAACAATATCTCATCTACTCCCATCCTTCTGTTTTTAAGGGGAGTATAAAAATAGGCCTTTTCTATAATCAATCATCAGATATCCTACTGATCTCCCAGATTAATTGTAACTACTGAAAAACTCGATTGAGAGCAAACTATATATATATTGTTTCGAAGAGACTCGCTAAGTCAATAGATATCACTAGAAAGCAATTACCTCTTCCACGGTCTGTTCCTGGCGGCCAGAAACACTGCGAGCTCTGTTGCTGTTGACTCTGTTTGGAGACTCTTTAGCTGCTGATCTGCGTAAATCGAGTGCTGCAGCCGCTTCAGTAACAGAATTCCGAGCGCAATGTTGCTGTTGAAGGATGATAACCTCAGCGGCGAGCCATTCGGACACCGACCGCTCGTAGGCCATCCGTGTGCGTCGATCGATCTCCTCCATCTCTGCGGCACTAGCAGTCCAGGGGTAATGACCCAAGAGGAATGGCCATACCTACAATTGAAATCAAAATTAAACGGAAATTGGTTATTTTAACTAACATGTCTTAAAATAGATTCCCATTATCATTTCACATCAATGAGAATAACCATACTTATCTTTCTAGGAGAATAAAATATTTAAACTTATTTCAGGAATAATAATATACTTATTTGGTAATATTTATCAACTGAACTAATGGTTACATAACCGTTAATTTAATTAAGGAGGCAAAAATAGAAACTCATAAGACTATGTTCAGTAATAGGACCGATAAACAAGGGTCCATGAACAAAATGAAAGACTACGGAGGAGATTTGGAGCGCTTTAGTTCACCTCGAGGAAGATAGTTATTTATTTGCGGTGTTATTTCCTTGAATAGAAACCTTATTTGATAATATGTAGTTTCTGCCAGTTATTGTGTCACACACATTTATAATTGAACGAAACCTAACAAATTTCAAGACCGCTTGCTAATAAGGAATACTTATCTTCTACTCACTTTAAGCTTCTCAGATATCTATTAGTAAGCTTCGGTATTATATTAAACCAAGGAATGACTCCAGTTATTTCATAATTTTGTAATTGTACCCGTTCTAGTAATAGGATTTCACTCATTTGACATTGATTTGACATTAAAGAATTCTGTAGTAGTATGAAGTACAGGGCTAGTGTCACCAAGTGGTACACGTTCCAGGCCTCTTGAATTCTTAAATTACATTTCCTCAATGACAGTCGATTCACTGAGAACAATAGTTTCGTACTTTGCAAAACAAATAAGCTAATTGTTATAAATTGATCATTCCAGTAATTAACGATCAATAGTAGATTACAGAAGTAGGTGTTATTGAGGAAAGTAAAGACAATTCAATTCCCTTCACATTCGTGGAAACTTTGAAACTGACCTCTTAATTATTTTCTTGCTGAAAGTGAAAAATTGGGTTAAAATGTTATCTGATTCTTAGCCAAATTTCATAAAAATTAAAATTCACTGCTCTATATTACTTATGAGAAATATTCAGGCACGTGACCTTATTTTGATTTAGCGAAAGTAGAAATTGGTATTGAGGATTCTGTCTTCATTAACTTCATTTACTGCTATTCGTCTCCCTGTCATCGAAATAATTGATTAAAATAGAACATAAATTTACACCATAATATAGCCTAATGGAATAAAATAAAACAGTTCCTTTATGTTTATGATAATCAAAGCACAGGATCTTGGATAAAAAAGTGAATTTGAAACACCAACCTCAAAAGTGAAGCTGAATATCAACAATATAAATTTATTTAAAATAGTCAAAATCAATTGAGAAACGATTTCTTTTCAAGGTAAATCTTTAGGGAAAATAATCACTGTATCTATCTGTCAAAGAATCTTCTGCTGGTCAAGAGATATTATT